TTGCCTCCCTCCCTCTCGCCCCTCGGCTCCTCCTCCTGGGCACGCTCGCCACCGCCAAGAGCTCCAAGAATTCCACCAGCAATGGCACCTCAGGGAGCCCCAGCACGGGGAATCTCGGGAGCGACCATGGTGGCGACGACCCCATTGTGGCTGTGAGTCGCATTCTAGAGAATACGGAGCAGGGCAGTGAGACCAGCGATGTTATTGACCACCTTGCGCTTGCTGGTATTGGCCATGCCCTGGCATGTGCAGATGAGCTGCACTTTGGAAGGATCCTTGTGTCCCTGGTTAGGATTTGCGGCAGGATCGGGGATGTAGGTGTTGGTGTTAGGGTGCTTAAGCTGGTGGATTGGCTGGTGTCGGGGTTCGTCGAGTCGAGGAGGATGCGCAAGGTTCAGGTTCTGTTCGAGGTAATTTCGCCGGAGAAGTGCGAGAGCGAGGGTTATGTGCTGTTTCCGGCGGTGATGGCGGCTTGCGGTGGACTACGGGCATTGAGGGTTGCTTCGGTGAGACATCGCTTGGACTTTGCCCCAAAATTGAAGGACGCTCCTGAGTGGACCATTCGTTTTGCAGCTAAGAGGGCAACTGTAGAAGGGAGGCATGACGATGATCAGCGACGTGTCCTTCTTCAGTGTGTTGCATTAGGTTTGACACAGTGTGGGCCGGTAGCGTCTAATGATTCAGTGTTACAGTGTGTTCTTATGGCACTGCTGGAGGAGCTCCTTCCTCTTCCATGTCTGCTTAGGATCTCAGTTAAGAGTCCAGATGGAAATTCAGCTGAGCTTGCCAAGAATCAGGTCAAGCAACACCAGGATAGTGTCCTTTTCAAAGAAGCAGGGCCAGTGACTGGGGTTCTGTGCAATCAGTATTCATTTGCTGATGAGAAGACTAAAGATTATGTTGAAACTCGTGTATGTGAATATGCGCAAGAGCTGTATCATCATCTTCGTGCAGCAGTGTTGCTGCACCAGACGAAACGGAATGATTTGCTTGCTGAGATTGATAAGATTGCTGAGGCAGCATTTTTTATGATTGTAAGCTTTGCAGCAGAGGTTGCAAAACACAGGTTGGATGCAAACTCCTCAGGGGGGTTACAGCCAGAGGTTGCTGTTAGGATCTTGGTGGAATTCTCTTGTGTGGAACATCTGAGACGTTTGCGTCTTCCTGAGTACACTGAAGCAATCCGGCGTGCTGTTGTTGTTAATCAGGATAATGCGGCAGCCAGTGCTTTATTCGTTGAGTCAATGCCTTCATGTGCTGAATTGACAACCAAACCAGGTTATTTAATGCCACTCTCCTAATCTCCTTGTGCCATTATGATTAAAACTTCTCATGTGATTGCTTAGATGTGCTTGCAGCTGTTGATTAAAGTGGAGCTTTGGTATATTGTAGATTTACTAACCTTGGATGGAACAAGATATATCTGTTACGCGGATGAGGTTCAGACGTCACGCATATTGTTTTATCTGCGGGTTATGCCTACTTGTATTAGCCTTATTCCAGCTGATCTAATTCGGGATAAATTAGCTCCGGTCGTATTCCTGTATCCTTTATAGACACCACTACTATTTGTCTTACTATTTATTTTTGATAGAATTCCTTATTTGATACTCCCTCTGTCCCATAATTTAAGACGTTTTCTGACACTACACTAGAGTCAAAAAACGTCTTACATTATGGGACGGAGGGAGTACTAGATAAAAATGTGCTTCCCTATTTGACCCTGGAAAAAAATTCTTCCTTATTTGGCACTCGGTCTAAATTTCTTTCTGGGGTAAAACTGTCTTTTCAGTTCTCACTTAAGGGCCTGTTTGGGACTGCTCCACTGCACCAAATCCACTTTGGAGCAAATTCACCTAGGAGTTGCAGCTTCTCCAAAGAGCAGTTTATCCTGTTTGGCTTCCAGCTTCAAGAATAAGAAAATTTGGTGGGAAAGGTCTATTTGGCTGGGTGACGTGGGGAAATAAAACAAAGGCGTATCCACTTACTGGTGGTAGTGCTGGGTAATTTCCCACCAAGTCCACAAGGACTCTTCGAACTAGAGTTTTTGGAGCACCCCTGAAGAGCTTCACAAAAAATAGGAAGTTGTACCCCAGATTCTTGTTTTTTTCTCAGAGCGGGATATCATGGAGTTACCCCGTTTGGCTTGCGTTTTTTAGAGCGGAGCAGTCCCAAACAGGCCCTTAATATCGTTAGTAGCCATAATTGACGGCAGTGGCACATTAGGGGGAAAAGACAGACCTCTGCTGCTGCCGCCATACAGGTTAGGGGTCAGGATTGAGGGAGGGCGAGTTCTTTTTTACTGCATACTTTTTTTTTTGACTCTAGGGAGAGCGAGTTAGGTCGTTGTTCGGGGCAGTTTGGTTCCTGCTATCCTTTTTTTCCAGCGTTATACATCAGGGGTAAAGCCGTTGTTTCAGCTCTCACTTAACACCATTGGTAGGCTGGTAGCCAAAATGGCGGAAGTGAAAAAATAGTCCGAGCGTCAAATAGGGAATAAACTTTTTTTGCAGGGCCAAATAGGGAGGCACATTTTTATCTAGTGTCAAATAAGGAATTCTCTCTTTGTTTTTCTCATTGGGTTATCTTGATTTTGATATACAAAATTGCCGCCCTTAATGCAATTTGTTAGATACATACAACATTCGAATGAAAAAATAACACGTGCTGTACACTCGGTGATGGTATCATTCCTGTCATCTGGCAATGATACTGATCAGGATGATCGAGTGGCTTTGAAAGAGCAAGTCGCCTTTGATTATATTAGGAGATCCTTGGAGGTAGTTCATTCAAAACCCTTTTTCATACTTTTAGTTCCTAATTAGGCGACTGACTAATTTCTCTACTTATCTCATTTAATAGGCTTATCCTGGGGTAACTCCATTTGATGGATTAGCATCAGGAGTTGTTGCACTTGTTCGGCACCTTCCTGCAAAGAGCCCTGCCATTCTGTTTTGTATCCATAGCCTTGCTGTGAAGGCTAAAGATCTTTGCAGTACTGCAATGGTTCAGGACAGATCATTATGGAGGTCATGGGAAGAAAGCACAGAGCCCTGCAAGAAAGTATTGGACTTGTTGCTACGGCTCATCTTCCTTGTTGATATTCAGGTAAGCTAAGATCACAATGTTATTACTTTCTGATGGTGTGTAGGGCAGTAACTCCTCTGAAATACGGGTTGGTGGTGCTTATCTCCTTTATGACATTCAGAATATGGCCAATCAATCCGCGAGGACACACCGAACCTTTTTCCCAATAGCAGAGATTGCAAACATCATTAGCTTCAAAACCCTATCGAGTATTTTCATTCGCTGACTTGATTGATTGATATAAAGATCTGCCTTTGACCCTAAATCACATTATTCCATGATTTCCTACTACGCATGCAGCACTGCTACCTGTAGAGACCCTGCAGATTTTATTCCCTCAACACTCTTTTCTCCTGTTTCTGCAGTCATTCTCTTATCTGCTCAAGGAGCTGGCGGAATTTGTCACCTCGCTGCCAAAGGAAGGCCAGGATGTGCTCCTCGATGACATGCACGCCCATGTCGCGGAATCTGACGATGTTGTACGGAAGCCTGTGCTCGTGTCGTGGTTGCAGTCCCTATCATACATAAGCTCACAAGCTGATGTTCGTGAATCTCGTAATAACGCGAAAAATGCTCGTTCTGCGGGTGGGGTTGAGCTGAGCCTGAACAGAACTATTGCACGCTTGTGACACTATCTTGCTCATGCTTGTCGAGCTTGATCATACTTGTTGTACATTAACAGTGCATAGAATAGAATGAGATAGATGCATGTTGCAAGTATAGTACTGCCTTTTTCATCTTGACATCATGCCGGTACGTATTTGTTTATCTGATTCAACATTTTGAGACAAGTGTTACAATGACAATACGAGAGATTTAATGATTCGTGTTCCTTGAATCTGAAATGCTTCATGGACATCTCCAGCCAAAGGGTGATCCATGCTAAATCCAAACACAAATCAAGTTGAGATACACCGCACATTATTTTTTGGAAATGGCAGTTATCTTGCATTCATTAAGAAGAAAAGAGTTGTTCACTGGAAATGGCAGTTATCTTGCATTCATTAAGAAGAAAAGAGTTGTTCACAACTGCTGGGCGCACCCAAGTAACTCCACACACACCACTGCAAAGAGGGTCTCATCGAGACAGCACGCAGGCATCATTCGCCATCACTCCTCCCATTTTCGCCATCCCTAAACCCTGAAGCAAACGACTTCGCCGTAGGCGATCGTCGACCCAACCAACACTGAAGAGGCCGCACATTATCAAGATGCATCACCAACAGAAGTTAGATTCAGTTATCTGAATGAGCAAACAAGGATCTTTCCCTTTTACTTCTCTCAATATATGACAAGCATAGC